TCTGACCTCCAGGTAGCTCTCCGCTTTCCAAGCTTTCTAAACACAGATCAACCACTGCCACTTTTGGATCAGGAATGACCACTACGTAGGAACGTTCCCTGCCCCAGGAGAAAGGCCTTCAGACTGAAACAGAGATTGTTCGCTTGGCTTCCCCAGATACAAGCAACTCACCCTCCTGTTCCAGACAGCCTCTGACTCTTAACTCCTGACCTCAACCCAACAGCTCAAATCACCCAGCAAGCGCAATCCCAGCTTGGCAACGTGATCCAAGACACGACACAGAAGCAGCAGATGCGGGAAGAGGGAACAGACACAGGAAAAGGAGCAGGTTTTTCCAATGTACTCCAGACTGAGGCTGGGGATGAGCCACGTGGCGCCTGAACTCGCTCCCTGACGCTGACTGGTGAGCTCACCATCTAGTCGAGGTGCACATCATACCCCTTAAACTACATGCAGAGAGAGAGAGAGAGAGGGAGTGTGTGTGTTCGTTCGTGTCTAAATCTCTCATCCGATTCTCAGATGGTGAAAGGTTAGAAATCACTGCCATGATGAAATGCTGTGACGTCACATACATTACATACAGTCCGTACACAGCTAAAACAGGCCCTGTGTTTAGAGGCTGTGTCTAGACTAAGAAAAGCCTATTTCATCTTTCAAATTCACTCATATTGACAAGCTGACGGCTTCACTGAGACCTACCCCAGACAAGGCTGGAGGATGACATCAGACAACAGATTCCGGGGCGAAGCTCCAGAAAGAGGCCATTTAAAGTACCTGCCGAAGGGCACGCTATTGGCTAAAGAGCCGGGGTGACCGTTTACGTCCACGCACACCCGCGGGAATCTGAACTGACAGCTCGCTGGGCTGTGTCACAGGCCGCTGGCCCGGCAGAGGCTGGCGTCACCACGCCACCTGCGCTGAGCAGGCCAAAGACGCGAAATCACACCCCCTCCACACAAGGCTTCCAGGAGCCAGCCCCAGGCCGGGAGACGTGGGCCCTAGCAAGGTGTGACATCCACCGTGAGGGAGCGGAACGTCGCCGTGAAAACACTTCTGCTGCTTCCAGACCGCACTGCAGCTGGTACAAGAAATGCTGCTACTGTAATTATGCGGATTCAGGAAAACCTAACAAGGCCCTCTTGGCCTCCAGGAGCAAAGGGAGAACGTACATGGTGACGATGTCCTGAGATCCAGGAAGAATGAGACGTGAGACGCGGAAGACACTCGCCTGTTTTCCTCTCGGTGCTGTGCTGGTTCGGGGCCTTCACCCTCCCGATCCCTGTACTAAGAACAAATAACTAGATGGCTTCTCCATCACAGACATTGTATCAGAAACACTGAGTTAGAATCAAGAGAAAATGCTGGTGCCTCTTTAAACGTGACTTTCCCTAGCCATTCACTCACTGGGTGAGTAACAGCCCAGCTCCCTGAAGTCTTCCAGGTATCAGGAAAGGGAGCAAGCTGGCTGTGCCAGCATCAGTCCATCCCCTCTTGGCCACAAATCCACCCTTCACTGATGGCTCCGTGAAAGTGGAGTTGAGCCCTCTGAATATCTGTCCTCTGCCAGCTGGCCCGGTGTTAAGCTCGGGCAGCAGGGCTGGCTGGAGAGACGCTGCCAGGAGACTCCTGCAGGACCCGTGTGCCCTGTCCCCTGCGCCACCACCCCCTGAGGCAGCTTCCCAGCACAGCACTTCCTGCAAGACCACCCCCACAGACAGCTTCTCCTGCACCTCGGAAAGCAGATTTCCAGCAAATTCTAGAACGTGGCTCTCCGGCAGTTCCATCACCTTGAAACCACTAGCCACCTCAGTGCCACTCCGCGAGCCACCCCTGGGGGCAGGAAGGCTCTCTCGGGGGCTCAGCCTCAGTTCGGGGGCGGCAGCTGCTCCTGAATCTTTGTTCTGTGCTCTCTCGAGCTCTCTTCTCACTCACCACCCCGTCATCGCCCAATCATTACGTACAAGTGTTATTCTTAATAAATCTGTAGGTGAAGCCCTCCCCGATGGAGTCACGGGCGGCTTCTGCCTTGCAATCCAGCCCTGACCAACGCGCCGGCTCCTGGGAGGGCCGCAGCACGAGATGCGGCCCTGAGAGCGGCTGCCCGGCCAGAGGAGCCATAGAGGAACCGCTGTGCGGTTGGCGCCGGGAGCTGCCACCTCTCACCAGGTGGACATGGGCAGAATCAGGGAGGCACCGAGTGCATGTTCCCCGCCTCTACTCTGCAGGATCCAGGGTGGAGACGGGACGAGGCACAGGGAAGCCAGAGCGGCGCCCTGCAGGAACTGACTCACCAACTGGAGAACGAGGCGCCCAAACCCGCAGCTGGAGGCGGTGGGCGCCGACGGCTCCACAAAGTCACGGGCAACACGTGGGTCAGTGATGGGGCCTGAAGCTGAGGCCATTCATTTCTACCTTGTCAGAGGCAAGAACTATCTGCAAAAGCCCTGTGCCACAAAAAACAGAGACCGGACTCTCTTGAAGTGGGTCTCCAAAGCGCTCCTCATTCCCCCATAGCGGGGTGGGCCTCCAACCCAGTGGATCGTGGGTCCCGGCTGTGGCCTGATGCCTTTCGCCTCCCTGTCAGGAGACAAACCTAAGTGCACATTTGAGTAGAGAAATAGATTTTAAAAGAGAAAGGCCACTTCAGCTGAAGTGTGTGTTTGACAGGGGGCGCTCTCCCTAAAAGCTTCTGAAGAAAAGATTAGGGAGACATGGTGACTGCAATCCACCAAGGCTAAATAAAGACGCCTTCAACAAAGCCCCTGCGCGTGAGGCTATTAAGGAAACCCCAAAACCACCTGGTGGAGAATAAAAACCTGTCATTCACTGAAAGACGGGAAAGCGGTTCGGGGCAGAAAGCAAGAAGAAAGAGACCACCCTGGGTGCACAGCGAGAGCACCATGGGGGTGCGGAGGGGAAGCAGCCGTGAACGGCGGGGTTCTAACGAACCATCTGGAAAGTGGGAGAGAGTACCAAAGGGAGAGAAACGAAATTTTCTAACGATAAATGAGAGTGGCTTTCTAACACAGCTGAACCACGATGGATGCCAAAGGGGTCGTTTGAAATGAAGGATGTCCACTCCACCAGGACCGAGACTTTACAGGCAAGTGAACAGCCTACAGAGGAGCCCCGACCCACAGGAGAAAACGGGGAGCAACGTGATTACTTTCAAAGCGGAGCGGGATGGGAAATGAATCTGACACAGACATCATGATGACGCAGTATTTTAGTAACTGCTGTGGTCAAGATTGTATCAAAAGCTTACCCCTCCGTACACCTTCACCCACCTCATCTACCAAAACATGCCCTTTTATTTCTGTGTGAATATTCATGAATTATGCATTAATTATAAAATATTTACAGCTTCTCTGTAATATAACTACATCTTCAGTTATTAAGACCTTAAGTTTTGTATTTCATAGACCAGTAAAAATTCCAAAAAATTCAAGGGACAAAGAAGAGGTTGGCAATGATTTATTTGGACAAATACAGGCCAATTTTTAATTATCACCATCACTTTATGAAAGAAAGTAACAAGGAAGTCACCTCAGGACAAGGGAGAGTCTTTTAAAGTGAATAAATATAACTTTATAAGACTTTCTACATTGCTCTTAAATTTTCAGTTTTCAGAGGGGAGGGTATAGCTCAGTGGTAGAGTGCATGCTTAGCAAGCATGAGGTCCTGGGTTCAATCCCCAGCACCTCCATTAAAATAAATAAATAAACCTAATTGCCTGCCCGCCCCCCGGATAAAAACCACCAGCATGAGGCTCACAGCTCCACGGCCACAGCTCACAGGGCTGCCACTCCGTGGGCACTTCTCCTCATTTTTATGAGATCAGTGGGGTTGAGCACCTGCCACTGCCATGGCCTGGTCCCCGTCTCGGGCATCACATCTCCTCTGGCTCATTAATTGTAGGTGACTTTCCATCACCTGGCCATATGCCCCAGACTCTGACCTGTCTTTATCCACTTCCTTCTTTGTCCTTATTATCACTCCCAACTTAGGAAACAGCCAGCTGTTCCAAGTGGCAAGAGCGCTCATCTAGCAGCGCTGGGGTCGAGCTGGGAGGGCCATGTCTGTAAAGGTAACTGACTTCTGTATGATCGCAGACTCACAGGAAGATGGCGCGTCCCAGGCAAACCGTCTCCTCCGACAACATGACTTATCTAACACAACAAATGATGGTTACTCCTCAGCCTAAGGACACTATCCCTTTCCTGTTCATAAGGTCGGCCCATTTCCTGGAGTTCCGAAGGAGGGAGTTTTGTGATGCTAATTACCCAACCTGTTTCAATGAACGTGTCTGGAAGGAGTACTAAGGGATGCAAGTCAGATATTTTCTGTGTCTCATTGATTCCATTTGTTTCTTACATAAAAACAGAGACAGTTTAGAAATGAATGAAAAACAAGTGGTATTGCGCTTTTTTAGGAAACAGACTCAAGCTTTAAGGAATTATCATCATCTGCCCACAAAAAAAAAGATGCCTACAACATATTAGGATGTCAGCTAACAGCTGCCAGGAGCGGGCGCTTTGGAGACTGGACAGAATGTCAGGCTTCCAGACCTAAAAGGCTCTGTGCCGCCAAACACACACCTGGAAAAGAGCAGTAACTGCAAAGCCTCCCAGTGGAAGAATGCAAAGCGCCCGAAGCGTGACACAGGGGAGGCAGGGGAGGGTCTGGGGACGAGAACACAGCTCACAGCCTCAGCCAGCCAGCCCCCAGTCCCCTGCACCGGCAGAGAAATCCACTGGGGTCTCACAGCACGAACACAGCAGTAACCCCCGCTGACTGAGAGCTGGGTAACCTGACCGCAGGCCTCAGCGCTGTGCCCCGAGCCATCTTGGATGCCAGGTATGTGTGAGCCATCGAGGAGGGTGATTCACCAAGGCAATGCACCCAGATCAAGGCCAGCAGCGCTGGCTTCACTGGGATGGACTTTCGTGGCCTCCGCCAGGCCACCCGCCAAGCCCCAGGCGGGAGGGGCTCCGACTCACCTGGTGCCGGGAGAAGAGCCGCACGGCCTCCAGCTGGTGGAACACGGGGTAGTGCTGGGCGTCGATCTGGTCGCGCCGGTAGACGTCGCCCACCACCAGGAAGGCGTCCAGCCCCGCGCGCAGCAGGTCCCACTGGTGCGCCGACGTGTGCGCCCGCAGCATGTGCGTCTCGTTCAGGTAGTAGTTGTCGCCCTTTTTCCGGCTCGGGTGGTCGGCCGGGATGAGCAGGCTGTCGAAGTTCTGCCAGGTGGTGACCACCGGGGACAGGTTGTCATAGACGGAGAAGAGCGGCGTCCCCGAGCGGCCCCCGAAGCGCTGGTAGAAGTGCGCCTTCACCCTCTCCTTGATCAGCCAGAGGGGGTGATGCTGCTGGTTGTGCAGGTTCCGGCCCACCTTGGACAGCACCTTCCGGGACAGGTTGCTGTAGCTGTCCTGCGGGTAGGACTTCCCCAGCAGCTCCACCACGCCACCCGGGGCCCCTGGGGTGGCAGGCCGATGCTCGTGGCCCCGACAGACACTGCTGGCCTTCCTCGCCAGGGAGACGTGCACCTGGACGAGCCTCCTGAGAGCCGAGCAAACCATGGTAGCAGCTTCTCTCACGGGTTCTGGAAAGAGCACACACGTGAAGCACCAGTTACATTGCACTCTGTGGCAAGTGAGCATGTCCTCTGTCTCCTGCCAGCCCCCCACTGCCGTCCTGACAGCTGTGTCTCCCCCACCCCCGCCTCCACACAGACAGAAGGTCCAGTTGAGGGAATCTGCCGGCAGAGGCTCTGAATCAGAAGAATCAGGACTATCACTTTAGATCCCCTACCTCTAGCTGTCCTTTCTTAACATTTATATCCATGAGTTCAAAGAAAATTTCCTTTATCATGTCACGTCCTGAACCCCTCACGCCGAATAAAACCTTAAATGTGACACCTTCCTTTCATTCTGACGACATTCCAGAACCAAAGCCTGAGAGGACTCACCTAAAGCAGGAGCTGGCTGGACCCCAGCAGAGTCTCACCAGTTAAAGGAAGCACGTGGTTACGTGCCGGCCCCTGAAGGCTGGAGGGAGAGTGTGAGGAACACGCGCCCATTCCCACCTCTCGTCCTCACAGCCACAAAGTTCTGCCCACTTCTGACCACGCGTGACTTCTGGATTCATTGACCATCTTACAAAATGGCGTGAACAACACGTTGGGGGTTTTTTGTTGGATGTTTCCAATAAAATACACCACTTTTAGGAGTGCTTTTTCTATGTTAGACTTCTAAAAATAAAAATAAAAAATTTAAGGAAAGCTGACACTGAGTGAGAGACTATACCAACGGACAGCAGAAATTATTCTCACAGATGCAAACCGTTTTTATCCTCACATCTGGTCATGTCACTGAAACGGAATACCATTGCAGAATCCCATCAATTACATGTTGGTTTTGTAAACAGGCAACTCTCTACTACGCACCCACAGGAAACCAGGAACAGTGAATCCAGTGCCTCTGAGAACTTCTCAGACAGAGGAGCTCCACACAGGCTTCTCACGAGCAGTGTCACCCGCGTGGTCATCCCGCTCGGAGCGGGTTCTCAGCCCCACGCGCCGGGTGACCCGTGCTGGCTGGGGGCGTTCTCGCTATGCTTTTGATGGTCGCTCGGAGCAGTTTAACCCCCCCCCCCCCGATGCAACGTCGTATCACGAAGTCACGCGTTTTCTCAGTGTGGTTGTAGGGTCCTTGATTCAGAGCAGTGATTCAGAGCAGCCAGAGTCAGAGTACTGACCAAACTTTTTTTAATACCCAGAATTTAGTAAGAACAACACTGGACTTCCCAGCTGAAAGTCACTGCAGTAGTCACCCAGCACTGGCTGTTCACGTCAGAAATGAGGTGACCAAGACCAGGCACAGCTGACCGAACCCCAAGCACTGGGAGAGCTGAGATAACGATGGAGGATTCTGGACCACTGACGAGGGCTCTCTGCCCCGGCCCAGAAGCAAGTTTAAGTTGACTCAAGGAGCTTAGCAACGAACACCTTTAGATGTCATGTTCCTATGTTCATAAAAAATTTACCATGACCTTAAAGGAGCCAAGTCCATCTTCTAAAACTTTCCGTTTCTACCCACTGGGGCACTATAAGGTATAGGACCCTGTGGCTGCCTTACTTCAAGGACCCTACAACCACACTGAGAAAACGCGTGACTTCGTGATACGACGTTGCATCGGGGGAGTTAAACTGCTCCGAGCGACCATCAAAAGCATAGCGAGAACGCCCCCAGCCAGCACGGGTCACCCGGGCGTGGGGCTGAGAACCCGCTCCGAGCGGGATGACCACGCGGGTGACACCGCTCGTGAGAAGCCTGTGTGGAGCTCCTCTGTCTGAGAAGTTCTCAGAGGCACTGGATTCATGCACGTGTGGCACCGTTTTGGCAGAGCTGTAGTGAAAAGCATTTCTGGCTGACTTTCAGCAGAAATCAGTCTTCCCTCCGCAGCGTTCGCTGCTGTCACTGCAGTAGATGCAGACTTTAAATACGCACAGGCCACCTTCCGCATCGCAGCGCGGTCACGCTGGGAGGCTGCCAGCGCCAGGTCCTAGCGCCCTTGGCCAGACACGAGAAAGCACCTCTCCCACCGGAGGCGAGGGCTGTCACCGGGCTCAGGACTCTCCCGGGGAAGGTGTTCCTGAGGCCGCGATTCACGGGTCGCTCACCCCCGTCACCCCTCAGTTCCCAGTTCCCCAGACCCCAGACCCACTTCTAGGCTCTGATGCTACAGAGACGCCGCATCCTCATGCCACCCCGGACTTGCTAAGGAAAGGTTTTCTTGACCTTGCTTTCAGACTTTCTCTCTATCTGCTCAGCCCCATCTGTCACCTCTCCCCACCCAAAACAATTTGTTGTTTTTTTCTATTACCATCTCTTACAGAGAGAGCGTGACTATGCCAGACTTCCCACTCCCATCTGAGAAGTAAGTGCCTTTCTCCCCCTGTCAAGTTTCTCTATGCGAAGGAATTCATCTGGAAAAAACAGGAACCCCAGGAAGACCAAGTCGGCGCTGGTCCCGCCTCTGTGGTACAGTGGGCTTCCTCCTTCCAGCAACTCGGGGAGGCAAGGGCGATGCTCATTATTTTACAAAGAAACTAGGCTTCAAAGAGATTGTGCAACTTGCAAAAACTCATGCATCTACCCCCAGACAAAGTTCAGAACTCTGAGCAATTCAAGTACTTCTCAAACAAGACTGTTACATTCAAACGACATCTCTTTAGTTATTGATCTTAACTTCTATCTTATCTGACCAATTTAGATTAAACCTCAGTGCATTTTAAATACAGGGATGAATGAATCAAAGAAAACACAGCAGCTTGCGTGGTGGAAACGAAATACCACTCAGCTCAGGACCTGAGGACCAGACGGGCCCAGCTCCTGTTTCTGTCAATGGCGTTTGAGGAAGCCCCGCGATGCCCACTTGTTTCCCATCGTGGCGGCTCTTCCACTCCAAAGGCCGAGCTGAGGAGCTCCCACGCAGACCGCGCAGCCCGCCAGGCCTAAAATACTCATTACCTTGTCCTTTACAGAAGAAGCTCCAGCTTAACTCACTGAGAAGTTCTTCCACAGCACTCAGAACATCTTCCTAGTCACAAAAAAACATAGGTGACAGCGCCACTGAAAGTAACAAGATACAGACGTGAGCGTTCAACGCGCTAACCCGGGAACAGAAGAGGCCAGTGGTGGGGAGGGTCAGGGCGACACCCCGGGCGAAAGGCCACACTGAGCAGAGACACCCACGGGGCGGGACCCCAGGTGGGCCACACAGGCCCCCTGTGTATCAGCCTTGGACACAGTCCTTGACCTTACTGGCCCTCAAGCTCCTGTGCAGAAGATGCAGAAGGCAAGACCTACCTCATACGGAAGGGATTAAGCTACGTCCTGTTCATAATGTACTTACTCATTGCCCCCAGTATCAAACACACAGGATAAGTCAGCTTAAAAGTTAAAAGTGGTCCAGAGGCTTCTAGGTCCAGTAACAGACAGGACAGTCCTTCGCTGAAACAGATGGAGAACACATGATGAATTTTGTGTCTGTTCAAATGATTTTCACATGGGTGTTTGTGGTGGGGAGGGAACAACCTGCTGAGCTCAGTCTGGGTGAGACAGCCATCCGATCATTCCTGGGACTCAGCCTGAGGCGAGGGCATGGAAATACGGTAAGAGATCGGTGCTAGCAAGGCAGGCCTTGGCAGTCACTCACGTAGAGGTAAGAATTAACGTTGTAAAGACGAGTAAGAACCCGTGGGAAAGTGAGAGTAAAAACAGAACTGGGCAAAAGACAGAGCCCTGGGAAATTATCCTATTTAAGGGAAGGGATGGAAAGAGTAAGAGAACCCAAGGGTTCTCACGGAAGCCTGGGGCACAGAGGCTCCAGAAGGAAACCTCTGTGATTTCTGAACCAAACACCACTGTATGTAATTCTTAACATGCCGTATTATTGCTATTTGTCTGTCTCCCTGTTAGATTACGTGGTTCCTGATAGCAGAACTCACACACAGCCTCTCTTATGTAAATGTTTGTATATCCGGAGTCCAGCATTACACCTGAAGCCGGGTGCAGGAGGAAGGGAAAGAGGAAAAACAGAAAAGGATGGAAGGAAAATTGGTCAGCAGGATCCACTGCAGCACAGAGCTTCGGCAGGGGGCAAAGAAAAGAGCTATCTGACAAAATGACGGATGGCTGGGTGAGGACAGAAGTCGGATCATAATGGGGTCCCATGAATGGACCATGTAAAAATGAAGGAGGGTACCAATCCGAGAGGGGATAAGCGTATTAAAAGCTTCTGGAACCAAAGGAAGGAAAGTTTAGGGAACAGCCAATAGATGGCCCTGGTCTCCCAAGGAAATCTTTATAGTCATGAAGAGAAAGAATCTGGATAATCTCAATGTTTACCAAGTAAATATAATTTTGTCATTCAGTAAGAAAGTAAGAGCAGAGAGCAGTCACTTGGGAACTTTTCTAGATAAACTCGAAGGACAGTGATTAAAAAGAAAAAATACAAGTTACTACACATTCTGGGAGGAATCCAAGAAGCCACCAACCAAGGGTTCTGGTGGCTGTGAGGTAAGTGTATTGCTCTGACCACTTCTCTTTAGTACCACACAGTCTACCTTCCCCGCCCACCCTCAGTTTTTGCCTAACAGAGCCATCTTCACTGGATGCTAGGCCCATCTTTAGATCAACCGATCGTCTCAAAGTCAGTTCTTCCTACAGGAAGAAAACAGTACAGCTCCTGAGCAAGAAGTTAACGGCAGCTTTTGAAAAACAGTCGTAATAACAAGAATGCTCTATATTATGTCAAACAAGTTCACATGTACGTTGTTACTTGCTGATGCCCGTAATACCCCCTAGGTACACACAATTTATTAGTCACAATTCGCAGATAAAGAATACCGGTTCACAAACAACATAACTCAATTCCCATGGATAAAAGCAGTGACTGTGGGCCTCAGATCCTAGTCTCCTAACCTTAAAATCCCATGATCTTTGCTCTAAACCTCTGGAAAAAAAAGAAAGAAAGCAGAGTCAATAAAAGCACGAAGGCAAAGGTATGAACAAGCGTCCCGCTAGTCGTCGGTACAAT